TATATATATATATATATATATATGTTCTACTCGTTTGCTTAGCGAGTTGAACACGAGCTATTTGAGAACAAAGAGTCGTTTTGACAATCCTAGTCATGTAGCAGTACGATGTTAAGGGTTGGAGGCTTAGAGCGAGATTTAAATTTTATTATTTATAGTAAGTATAATTTAATATATTTGATTTTATATTTTTTAATTAAAACTTTTGATTGATTGCAATTGTTTGTAGCTTTGTAGTAAATTAAATTATTTCGAGCTAAAACAGGTCAGCACGACCAAACAAATTTTTGTTCGTGTTTGGCTTATTTATATATTGAGCATAACAGAATTGTTTATGTTCGGCTCGTTTGTTTAGTAAATGAATTGAACTCGAGCTTCTTAATTAACCAAACACGAATTGTTCTCGAACGGTCGTTTTAACGAGCGATTATTGCGTGCGGTGTTCGATCAGGATTACTAAAATAGATTTTTTTATTTTTTTTATTATTAGAGTGGGCCCAATCTAATTTGCGTGCGGTGCACAATAGTTTTTTCTTTTTTAACAGCCCTATTCATATGACATTTTCTACTACTGAACCTATGTATTGACATTTGAGTGAGAATTTGAAAAATAAATGAAAGTGGGTGCTAAATTTGTAAATAACAAGGTTTGGGACGGTAATAGCAACAAGAGGAATCCTAACAAATTTAAAATCACGCTAGTTAGCATAGGATAAGTAATATATAAATAAAAAAATACATATAATTTCAAATTTTAAAAAAATAAAACTAAAATACAAGTTAAAAATTAGAAAAAAAACATGATCTCCACCTATCAATCACAAAAAAATTATTCCATACGAAATGCATGCGGTGTTCGATCTCCACCGTTGATCACAACATTTTAAAAAAAAAAAAATTTAAATGGGGTTCATTGAAATACATCTTCCCTGTGATCAACGATGGAGATAAAAAACCGCATGCATTTCGTATGGAATGATTTTTCGTCAACCACACAACAACGCGATAACTTCCCCGTGCTTCAACGGCAAACAATGTTATAACTTTAAAATAATAATAATAAATAAAATAAAATAATTGCCGCTACAATAAGGTTAAGTTTTTCGTAAAAAAAAAAAAATGTTTTTGGGTTTTTTTTAGTTTATTTTGAAATATTATGTTTTAGTGATAATTACATTAGAAATTAACGGATAAAATATGTTTTTAAATTTGAGACTCCTAATTAGAGAAAATACTGTATTCACTGCTTTGCAGGTTTTACACAACATGTGTGTGTGTGTGGCTATTTACAAAATGTCACTCGTAAGTTAGCTCGAAGTTCATTAATTGCTCAAAAATTGATTTATATATTGGCTAAAATCGAGATCAGATCGAAATAATCGAGGCGAAACTTTGGATCAAATTTTTTTGAGCTGATTTTGAGCCATAGATAAAGTGGCTCAAACCAACTCGAGATCGGCTCGTAATATTTTTTATTTATGAAAGTTATATTTATAATGCTAAGTAAAATTGAATAAAATAAATCGTGAGCAAATTAGGCGCCGATTTCGATCTGGAACTAATCCAAAAAATTGAATTTGAGTCCGTTAGTTTCAATTTTGAGGCCGATCGAGCTGTTTTAGAGCTGAAACATATTCAAAAAACTCAATTTGAGCCGGCCCATTTTGATTTGGAGCCGGCTTGGCCTGAAATCAAATATAACGAGTCACGAGCAGATTTCGACCACATTCAAGTCGACCCCAACTCAACTCAAAATCAGATCATCAACAACTCTATTCAAAACCAAACAATGCTATGATAACCGGTTAACAATTTGTGGAGTGCTCTCTAGTTTGACACTCATACTATTCTGAGATACCCTTTTAGTGCAAGTAATGCCAGTGTATTAATTAATCTTATGATATAATTTATATTTTCTAATGTTGTAATTTCATTTTATAATAAGGTTTTAAGTATAATAAATTTCTATTTTTATAATAATAATAATAATAATAATAATAATAATTATTATTATTATTATATTTTTTAGGCAATTTTTTTTATCGATAAAATATCTTTTTTTCTTATTATAACATAAAATATTATTGCTCCAACTTCTACTTTGATATTATTTTCTTAAACATTTACAAGCTGGTGTTGATTTTATATTATATTTACAAATATTAAAAAAAAAAAATCTTCCGGTAGGACGATTTACATACAAACCACCCAAAACTTAAGTTTTTACAAATTAACCACTCTCTTTTATCCAATTTTCAAATTGTGGCTCAAATATCAAATTTTATGATAAAAGCCGAAATAAATTTTTTTTTAATCAAATTCTCAATAGTTTTATGGTGGCACGTTTAATTAAATTAATTTGGCTTTTAAAAAAAAAATCATATGATGTTGAATTTGTAAATATCAACATTTTTGGTGGTCTATATGTAAATATAGCTAAAATAAAAATTACTTATTATTTTGAATAAATAGAGAGTGAAATAATTCCTCTGCGGATGAAATTAGCTGCAGTTGCGCTTAGCGGCTATTTCAGAAGTTCCCTACTCTCGTGATCTCCTAGTGGTACTTCCCACTTCCCCTCTGTTCATCGACCACCCTGCGAAATAATTTGGCAAGAGTATGGATGGGCCGAGGCGGGTCGTGATCGGCCCGACGACCCTGGCTGCCATTTTTTTGGCTTTGATGCTTCTGGTGATCTCTGTGGCTGGGCGGGTTGTGGAGGATAGACGGCGGTGGGTTGCAGGGACGAGGAGGGGGAGTTTCGTCTTGGATAATGGCCTTGGCCGAACTCCTCCGATGGGGTAAGTTAATGTGCTTTTTTGGATACTTTATGCTTTCATTGATTCCTCTTCCTTCGAACTTTTTTTTGTTTAGTTGCTGATGTTGATTGAGTTGAGAGTAATGATGTAGGTGGAATAGTTGGAATCATTTTCAGTGCAAAATCGACGAGAAGATGATTAGGGAAACTGGTACGTGTGCTCTCTCTTCATCTCTCTTTCTCTCACTTTCTCACGCTCGATCTATCTCCGTTTCTGAAGTGAACTCTCTTGTTTGCTTCCGTTGTTTCTGAGTGGGTGAAGCTTGACAATCTCTGCAATCTAGTGTTTATAATATTTGGAGTGAATAATTGTAGTTCTATCGAATTCAATTTGATTGAGTTGATCATAAACGGGGATTCTCTCTCTCTCTCTCTCTCTCTCTCTCTCTTTCTCTTCAACTACTTTTTTCGCGTGCTACATCGTTCTTAGCCAACACTCAGCATCAATGTCAGACTAATTTTCCCTACCATTGGACTTTTCAGAGTTGTTTTGTTATTTACATATGAAAAAGTCAAATCTGGCATAATAGATCGATGGTCTTGTAAATTTTCTGATATGATATTTAATTTAATACGTTTAAATGGTCCCCATTCTCTCTTGTGTCATTGTCCATTTTCTCAAGTATGAAAAAGATTACCCTTCTATTTGGCCAATCAAACATAATAGGCTTAAAGTAGTGGCATTTGAAGCACTTTCTAGTTTGAATGGATTTGGGAGTGTTGGTGGTCTCCGCCTTTTCTGCACTATAGATGGGTTTCTTCTTACGTAAGATCGGCTTGGGTGTTCCAATGGTTGTACTCTTACTGTCTCATCCCAGGGTTAAACTTTGTTTATAAGGTGTATCGATTGTCTGGTGACATTATTTATTTACCTTCAAAATTAAGGTTTGTACATCAAGTAGGGACTAATACAATTACAACCGTATCATATTATTGATAAATGTCATTTGTCCTCCAAGGTATCTCATCACTGTGTGCTCTTCTAGTTTCACCAACTCACATTTTAACATGAATAGACCAATTTTAGCTGTGGAGTTTTATTAATATATCTTGTTGGTAATGCAAATGAAGATATTTGTGTTGCATCTCTTTTTTCATCTTAGACTATATGATAATCTTACTCTTCCTTTTCCATTGTCGAAAGCACTTTAGGTTTTCCCACGTCATAAGGATAGGTTTTCCCACATCATAAGGAAAATTTCTTTCTATGCTTGATGATTGTCAATTTAAGTCTATTATCTTGGGGAATGTCTTTGTACTAAAAAAAATGTTCCACTATTTGAAGTCATTCCATGTATTCATCCAGATCCCAATGAGCGTGAAAATCTGGTAAATCCATATTTACTTTAAAATTTTGGCTTCTCCTCTGATATTCAATGTCAAATCGACACAACATCGACTCTTCATCACTCGGAGCTTCTTGGTGGAAATGATTCACTTTCTTCTTTTGATTTGGTGAGTCACTGTTGTGGCTTTGGGTGATCTCACCGGATTGTCTACTCTCGAAAGTGGCAAACCTTTGTTGTAGTCGGAGGATCTTTTGAACATCTCGTTAAGGGTTTCTCCTTAGCGACATGACATCCCATTCTTCCAATTGAAGTTTTGACGGAAAATGAAAGAGTGGATTAGGGTTAAGGTTAAGGGTAGGGTGAGGGCTAGGTGGGTGATGCAGGAATTTTTTTTTTGAGGGTCAAAGTTTGGCCGAGTACTTAGGATTTTGGTGGCAGATGTCGAGTTGGCTTTTTGGTGGAGGTTTAGATTATGTGAATTTTAGGTTTAGGTGTAGAAAGTACAAAACCATAAAAGTTTTTGGTTTGCAAGGCTCTGATACTGGATGATACTATTCTATGATTTCTAGATGGTGTTTAAGAAGTTAATTTAGTAGGGAGGCAGTTGTGGAATAACAAGGGAATAAAAGCATGTGAGGTCGATGGTGTTCGAATGGGGATATCAATCGTTTGGCGGCTATCCCAACTAAAAATACTAAAGATAACCACAACAACATCGTAAAAATGTCGATAAGGTTCACCGCTTATTTTTGAATAATCTATAGATACACTTTTTGCAAGCAAATGGAAGAGTATACAACACTCGTTATGGAAAAAATCAGAGGTTACAATATACACATTGTAAAACACGAACTCAAATGTCCCCTAAAATAGAAAATAACAACATATAAATAGTCCCTCGAACAAAAAAGTCTGATTCTTGTTCAGAAATATAAGAAATTTTGGGCCCACAAGGACTGGTAGCAACAATATTCAGAAAATTCCCCTCTTGATGTGAAACGATGCAGAATCCCGTCCATCATGCTTGCGGGATCATGGGAATCACGAGATTCTACTATCCCGGATCACAAAGATCTAGTATCAGAGCCGTCGCGATCGACTCGATGTGGGAGTTGCCACGATCCGCTTAACATTGGAGTCGGAACATCCACATCACTAATCCTAAGAAACAACCAAGTATTACCTATTTAGTGGTTTAATTTAGTGGTCTTACATCCGCTTTAGTGGGGGTAGAAATTATGCACTATTCTCATTGGCAAAATACAAGGATTATTATAAAGTTTGAAGACTTGTAAGGTCGAGTTGAAGTCTAATCATTTTACGATTGATTATTGCATTCCTTAATGATCGGGCATTTCTCCTCATCATTTTTGGAGAGTTGATAATGATCACCTCTTAACAACAAATGTTTATATGTTGATTAATATCTTTATAGTTAATAAGTCCAAGCAAACTTGTAGTTGATATCAAGCAGACGATGCATTGGGTCGAGTGACATTCAATAGAAATAGTCGATTGAATGAAAATTTCAAGAGAAATTATTACATGGGTACACTTCTTTTTCCCTTAATGGATGCCTTTTGATAGCTTTGTTGTCATATCCGTACACTTAGTTAAATTAAATTTTAGCTTGTAAAATTATAAATACATTACTAAAAACCAATTATCTTATGAACTGTACCATGCATAATAAACTAATTGTAGTTTAACATGAGATTAAGAAGAATTCATCTATTTTTAATGATGTTCTCATGATTTTACAATATTATGAACTCAACTTGATTTATGAAAAGATTTTCCAATTTTGAAGATGCCATGAAATAGGGTTTATTTAAATAAGCATAAATTGTAAAATATATATGCAAAATAGTGCATACACATTATCAAATAAAATTTCTATTTAACATACTACGTGTCCTAAATAATGTCAAATAAATCACAATTAACATACTATCTAACAATTAAGTTTTATATATTTGGTTATTAGGTTTTGGATGTAATTTCTAAAGCTTAACAATCTATTGTAGTTCACAGTTATTGTTGATTTATATCACTGAATGATATAAAAAAATATGTTTTTAATCGACCCAACCACTGGCAAAATCCTATTGCAAACAAGCATTATTCTTGAGACCACTCCATTATGTGGTGCCATTTTATGAGTTATTTGTTATTGAACAAGTAAAGTGCCAAAATAGTACTCGACTATTTATGTGGATTGTTTTATTCCCACAGTTTATTGATGTGCCAAAAATAGTCCCCCTATTCTTTAAATTAAGGTTAAATTAGTCCCATTGAGGATTATTAGAGCTCAATTTTAAAATAGTCGGGGATTATTTTGACACTTATATAAACTTTGGGACTAAAATGACCCTACGTAAATAATTGAGGACTATTTTGGCACTGTACTCATTATTGAATTTACTTGACAAAACTTGATGACCACCATTTCCTAAGGGAGCCACAAAATATTTGAACTACTTAGCTCTAATTGAATTAGCTGAATGATACAACATGTTAGGGAGTGTGATCAAAAGGAAACCAATGTTGAACATTATATGATAATGACCGAACCTTATATTTTCAACCTAAAAAACTTTGTGGGTAGGGAACAATCACAATTATTTTTACAAAATATTTTCTTAATATTTTCTTAAATATTCAATATGAGAGAAATTCAATACCTACTTCAACATATCCCTATACGTATATGACAAAGAAGTCTCACATTCATGGCTGAAAATGGTCACCCAAAAGACCACCTCTACAAGCTTAGTTGTTGGACCTTGTTGAGGCATTTGCATATTCCTTGGATATCTTTTATGATCAAGATAGAATGTCACGCTGATTATTATTGGGATTCATAACAAATAGGGTAATTATATTTATATTTCACCTTTTGCATTCAAACCCAATAATCTTGTATACAAAACAAATACAATATCTATAACATTCATTATATTAGCAAATTCTTTTCTTCTATTTAACTCAAACCAAACAAAATTTTAGTGTTCATTTTCATTAAACAATTTTATTGTATGCTGTAGCTGATGCCTTGGTTTCAACTGGTCTAGCATCATTGGGCTACAAGTACGTAAATTTAGGTATTTAAATCCTTAAGGAAAGAAAATACTTACAATTTTCAATCTTTTAAATCTGATTGAATGATCATCTTATTTCAAACAGATGATTGCTGGGGTGAATCAATTAGGGATTCCCAGGTATGCAACTGTGACTGCTCTATTTATATGTTTAGTTTCTAAATGGTTTGGATTTAAAGCGGGAAATGATAAAGGACTTGAATTGACATTAGTTTTAAGCTACTTGCTTGTTTGAGGAGAAATTAAGGGATTTTTTTTTCTTGTTTGTAACTCTTGTTTGTAACTATAGCTGTTTTTTTTTTTTTTTACATGTTTAGCCTGCATCTGGTTTGAATGAATTGAAAGAGAAATGAAAAGGAAAAGGAAATGGTAAAATAATTGAATTGATTTTTGTTTTTTTACCAGCTTGTCTGGTTGAGTAGAGATTGAGTGAAATTTTTTTCTAGTTTCATCTCATTAATGAGAAATTGAGTTTTTTCTTGAAACGAGACATGCAAGCCACACCGATGTTTCAATTTATTTTCTCTTTTGTTTCATGAGGGTTGGGTTGTGAATAGTAATGAAAAAAAACAGTTGTTAATATTTCTTAGGTGAATCAAATATTTAACTATAGCTCATCTGATTACATAAACTATATTTCTGAAATGCTAATTTCATTCTTAATTTTTAAATGTGAAAATGAGATCATCATTTTTATGGATTTTGATGTTGTTTACAGAGTTCAAAATCCATATTATTTTCTAACTAAATGCAACTATTTGAAGGAATATCTAATAAATAACACTTTTCGAACAATGTTTTATAACTTCAAGCATCCAAATGAGCCCTTAATTATATTTGATCCTGACTCCCAATTTCAAATCGTGATACTAAAATACATTTGCATTTTCCTTAATTCCTTCAAATCAAACCAACACATAATGTACTTGAATGATTAGTTTTATATGGAAATGCCAAAATATTTGTCAGTTCCAAATGGCCATTTTGTACTTTAAAATGAAATTAGTTCGAAGTTTTCATTATTTCTGCCATCTTGTTGCACCTTCTTACTCCTATATCTGTTATGAGTGTTCAAATGGGACAATCACCTTAAAGTCATTTGATATTCCTAAGAGCAGTGTTTCTTACACTCAAAAAGTCAACATATTCTTAAAACCTTTTTTAATATTGTAACTAACATATTAGAGGAATGCAATCTATGAATAGGTGGTGAAAATCACTTTTTTTTATAGCATATGGCATAGAAAAAGTGTTCAAAATATATAACAATGTCAATCTAAGTTATTCTACCAACCTTTTTATTTATTTTTTAATTGAATTCAAGTTGAGCTTGAAATGTCCCAAGTTGTATGTATGTCACAGGTGCTCCCAGCCTGGACCGGAAGTGGGAGATATCCAGGAACTGAACCAGTTCAACTGGGCATGAATAGGGTCTGACCGACCCCTCCTTTGGGCCTAAGGCTTGCCGCCCAATAAGAGTGGAGTCCTCCTTAGTTATCCTAGTATTATATATATGTTATTTGTTGTGTTGAGATTAGTTTGTGTATGTTTTTTTTTTGTCGGCACAACCATCATCATCTCTAGTTCTCCCTTCTAGGGTTGTATCCAAAGACAGGTGGTGCTCCGGTTGTAGCGTGTATGAGGCCCTCGCATCCATCCCTTCATTGTCGCACGCCTTTTCTCATTGTAGCCACCCAAGACAGCCATGGTTGGTGTTTTTCGTGCACTCCCCCCTCAGACAACCTCCAAGGCCACCGTCCCATCTCCTCACTACAGGAACCACCAGACAACCTCCTCGTTATCCTCCTGCCCCTACCACCCCTCCAACCAGCCGTTCTCCCTCCCCCAGCCAGTCACCCGACCGCCAAATACTCTCTTCCTACTACTCCTGCTATCCTTGAGAGTCAATACCCACCAACCGATCCCACCCCTTTCCCCTGCAGTCCAACCACCACACTGTAGCCCCATCTTCCTACCTACAAACCTCCACCACGTCACATCTTCCCAACCTGCTGCTCACCACTAACTTCTCATACATCTTGCATCCCCTTCGGGATATGCATCTAGTTGAGTGAAGTATTGTATGTGGTATTGTTATTTTCCTTTCTGTATGTTATTTTGCAACTGTCTATTGTCTTTTTCAGTAATAATATTTGTTGTCTATTGTTGGTTGAGTTAACTCCGGTATCAATATGTGTGTGTGTGTGTGTGTAGAGAGAGAGAGAGAGAGTTATGTTTCCTTTGATTAGAGATTTAATGATTAGTTGGTAATAAGTATTAAAATTGAAGTGGTTTTCTGAGCATTTAAAGAAATTAGGGATTTTGTCTTTTTCATTTGTGAAGCATGGTGGTGCTAGAATTTTTTTTAACAATTCCATTGATGTACATGAAGAAAACATTTTTGGAAACTATTTAGTAGGTACGCTTTAACATTATTCAGATTTTGTTTATCTATTATTCTATTTGTGTTATTTAGTTTTTTATTTCATTTGAGAGATTTGGGGTTTTTTTTTCCTCTAATAAGATTGAGTATACTTGAGTCTAAAGAAAAAAATATTTTCTTGTGGTCCTTTTGCTTGTACATCCATATGGCTTCTTTATGTTGGCTAGGTTACTCTTTGCTCTCTTGTGGATGTAGGCTATTAGTTTTACTGAATCACATAAATAAAGATATCTTTTTTAATGATAATTGTTCTCTTTATTATTATTTTGTATATTTATTATATTCTCTCTTAAAATGCCTCCACCTAAAAGTTAAGTATTTTTTTTAATAACTAATATAGCAGTCTAATGTGAAATATAATGACCAAGAAGTATGAGATAAAAAAATTTGATGGCTTGAACAGTATTATATTCCAACAATCATTTGTGAATATACTCATGGGGCGTTCAAATATGTTCGAGAACAACAAACAAATATTTATCCCACTAAGTGTGGTAAGCTACATGAATCATTTTTCTCCATTGTGTCCAATTATTCAAATATGTTTGAGAACATGAGAGAAATGTAAAATAGACATAAATGAAAATTCTTTCATTGGTCCGACTGTGATGGATGAGATCTTGATGTATCTTGGAGGAAACAATCACAAACAGGTTGTTGCTTAAATTATAGTCTTTATACTAGACCAAGAGTTTCTTCAACAAACTTTATAAAAAACTAAGATTATTCATTCTACACATGTAACAATATATACTCACTGACTCCTCTTTATAAGCATTTTCATGACGTTATGTTATATTATAAAGACATCATAGTCAAATAATATTAATAATCTACTTATTTCTAAAAAGTGATTAATAAACTTGATGATTTATGCGATAAAAAATACACTGAGGGATTATTGTTTAGGGTGCGACCTATGAGTATATCTCCAATCATGATAGAAATAAGTTTTTTGGTAGGTACAATAATGTGGTTTTCCTTTATTGTAAGTTGAAAGGACTCTTTAACAAATATTTTTACTCTTTGAAGAGGAGCAATATGCGAATGATAACCATAAAGAAAATAAACTAACATACATTGTGTTGTTATAGGCTTGTTAGGTGCTGTTGACCTCATTTTTAGTGAGGTCTAGTCTTCCTCTTAGGGTTTAGGATCTAGCCTTAGGGATCTCCCTTTGACTATCTTAGAACCTTAGAAGTGGTGCCCGCCTCATTGTAATTTGACCTATTTTCGTCCTCTTTTGTGGTTCCAAGTGTGTGGTATCGACTTCTAGCATTTAGAAGGGTGAAACCAACATGAGGAAACCCAAAAGGGATCCCTATAGGACCTTTTTGAGCCTTAGGGTGGCCTTCTGCACAATTCACACTCCTGCGCGCACCAGCTTCGCGATTCGGAGAGTCGACGCGTCCGATTGCTGCAATTCGCATTGACTGCACCGTTATTTGTCGGGGACTCGAGTAAACCACTTGTGACGATCGATCGCGGGTCGAGATTTTGTGAAATTTGAATTTCGACGC